TATTTATACACATATATATTTTTTATAATAAATGGTATTATATATTGTATGATATAAAGCTATCCCTGTTTTTTTCAAATATTGTTTAACAAAAATGTTCTCTTATTCTCTGAAATTCAATATTAAGTAAGTATATATTGGTCATTATTATTTACAAGACTGAAGAGCCCAAACAAGCATGCGGCAGTCAAGAAGATTCATTGATCCTGAACACATCAAAGTTGACGGTATTCTTAACCTTAGCAGAAACGATATTAAAAGCAAAACTGAACTTCTTATAGGACACTATAGACTTAATTACCACATGTCGAATTTAGGTGTGGTAAAAAGTGATACCTGTCGACTCCATTATAAGGAGGAGGAAACATCGGAGTATATTCTATACAACTGTCCAGCAGCGGCAAGACGTAGACTAAACTACCTTGAAAGCGGGATCTTCGTCCCAAATGAAATAGGTAAAATCCAGCCCACAACAATTACGATATTTACAAATAATCTAGAATTGTTTTAGTGAGGCCTTAGACACGCAATAGATCTTTTAGGTCGGGGTGCATTCATACCATAGACTAATATTTAATAATAATAATAATAATGTATAACAATTCCATCGGTGTAGAACTTTTATGGTTGTCAGCGAAAGACTTGACTTAGTTATTTTTAGCAACACTTCGGTCAGCTAATTTTAAAACTATGAGAGTTTTGCAGAGACCGAGACAAATAGTAGTCATGATACAATGTTCGCGTTATGTAGTGCATGTATCAATACGTTTCAAACAAGTTTTGGGAATGAGTTCCCACTCATTAGAGATGATCTGGTATTATCATGATGGCACACAACTCCTTTCATGTTGAAGAGTTCTTTTCACCTTTCCTTGAACAGTAACGAATCGAGGTAACTGTTAAGACTGAAGCATGTCGTAATAGACAATTCTCTTATATCATATATATAGTACATGATTTGCGCTTTCATAATATAGATCCTTTAACAATTGTTTAATGTGTTAAAATTGTAAAATCGTACTACAAAACTAACGATTCTGTAGTAGTTGTTTTACGGATTAAATTTTTATTTTGTAATGAGGTTTATCTTTTAGTAGCTGGATACGTCAACAAACAAGAGCGACGCAGCTGTGGTAATGGAAATTTATAGATTTTACTATTGAACAATTTTTGCATCCATTAAAAGGCACAATATTTAGACTGGAGGTGCGACAGTTTAGCGTTCTAATGAAAGGGTGAAGGTATTTTGAGTTCAAATCCTCTATACTATTTCAGGTTACTTTACACTACGTATAATGGTTTTTTCTCCAATAATGTTTTCATTTAAACTCTAATTTACTTTTCAATGTAATTGCTACAACTACATGATCACCTACTTGTTTAGTGTGAAAATGAAGATATACACCATGAAAATATATTGTTTCAACAGGACAATGCCATAAACCAGTAGCTGTCAATCACAATTCGCATAAGAATCCATTAACACTGGCAACATATTATTATTCAAGGAATGCTATGACGAAGTGATGCATAGCTCAAAAATAGTGGTAACTACAATCTACACACTTGAATATGAAACTACTACCTTGACGAAAAGATGTTTGCAGTGGATGTATGATCACATACTCTTCTGATAACCATGTAATAAAGATAACCATGTCTACCATATATAAATGAATTCAACACCCTCTTCAATTATGCCTTTGTAAAATATTGGGAACTTCGAGGCTTATTTAGAAGATATAAGAAATAGGAGTCATGTGCTATTTAATTGTTATAATTGCTATATAATTATTAACATCATGAATTGATACTATATTAATCATTTAGTACAAGAATTTAATTGAGATATTTTTATATAAACTGTGAACACGTGGAAATATATATCCGTTTCCCGTCAATTAATGTGTCCGAGATTGTTACATTGAGACCTATATTTTTGATCATATTTTATTGCTGTAATGTCTTGTTTACTTGAGTTTAAAGCCCAAAAAAGTGAAGTTGTATATTTCACATTATAACATATATCTACCCCAACATATGCGACTATTTACAATGAAATAAATTTTTTACCGCAGTAGTGTCCTTCGATCGCGCGTCTAATTAAACTCTTTCGGGTAGAAATTATCGATAATGACCACGAAACTGATTTTTGATTATTTTTTATTACTTAAAATCAGTTAATTCACATCTGAGTTAAAGAAGCTTTCAAGACAATGAATTTCTTCATATGAACCAATAAAATAAACGGACAACACAGTGCGTACTGCTCTCTCTCTCTCTCTCTCTCGACCTTACTTTCTCTAGGTTGTTTATTTACGATAAACGGTTGTATGGAGGGGTAGAAGAATAGGTACAGAACGATATATGGGAAAGTTCGAGAGTAAACTTCTTGGTATTATCTTTAGTTTTCTACAAGTTGGCGTTGACTACCATATCCGCATGAATCATGAGATATACCAACTTTAATGCAACAATGTCTTTGTTTAGCAAATTCATATTCATCATCTTCACTGGTTAAGCTGCGTTATAATGAAAGTCGTTGCTTTAAGAATACATATATGAGTTTGCAGTGGCGTTTTGAGAAAGAAAATAAAGAAGTGGTGTCATTAGTATAGTGCTTAAGTTGTAGCAGCACTAATCACTAATCCACGATGCTACAAAAAGTACGTATGGGGCACAGGCTTAATATGTCAGACCGAAAGCTAGAATTAATTGTTAGCGTCAGTTAAGTAAGTAAAACAAACAAATTGCTCCTTGTATATAATAATTTCTTTTTTTTCGTTCCAAACATTATAAGTTTTGACGAGACTACAGTGGATAACAATTGCTTATTTTGACAAAACAATTTATTTTCTCTCTGTCCAAACATTATGAAATTTTTACGTAATATCAGTTGAAAAGCTTATAATTTCTAACATATAACGTCATCGTAAAAACCTATTTTTGGAAAGTCCTGTGTGCTTTGAAGTGCTACTTTTTAAAAAATTATTTAGGAAAACTTTTAACTTCATTACTTCACTTTTGTAGTAAGTAAGTAGCCTTGATTTCAATAAAAATTTCAATATATTGTTGAAATAATAACAACTCACCTAGAGAATAGTTTAGTAATAATATCAAAGCTTGTATTTATCTTGATAATTCATCGTAGTAAAGTTGAACTTCAAGTTGAATTATATTTTTATAATCAATGCAAGTGAATGAAACGTTATTATTATTCATACTCAGTAGTTCTCATCAAAAAAATTTCGGTCAGAATCAGCCTTCCTGACTGAGACTTGAAATTAAAGTGCAATCTTCACATTTCTTGAGTTTTCGTTTAGATGAAATTAAGTGGGTGATATGATTTTCCATACCAGACACTTGTAATGTATTATTTAGGGATCATTACAGTTGGAGCAGTGGCCAGATACATCAAAGCCCATTTGAATACAAATAATAAATCGAATTTTGCTGAGACCGAAACATATAGTAGTCATAGTAGAATGTATCAAAACTTTTACAACCAACTTTCGTCAGTTTCTTTCGAGTCTTAAAAGTGGGTGACGATGTGGGTGACTTTCATATTTTTGTCATTTCCTTTTTTGTTGGCTAACTATGGGTGCTTGTTCTTGATTGGTTCATTTCAGAGTTCGAAATGTGAGCAGTAGAGGATTATAGCAACACTAGACTGTAATATTTCGTTATAGACGCAAAACTGTTATTTTCATCAAACACTCAACATAGGCTTGTTTGCAGTTAATAAGAACTGTGAAGACGTTTGTGGAGGGTAAATGGCCTTTGACTATGATCGCAGGTATTAGATATTCTCATATATAATCTATTGTTCATTGCCTGCAATGATTCGCTTTGAAAATGGTACGCATAACTTAATTGCCCTTAAAAAAATGTGGTCTGAAATGAATTAGTGCTGCGAGGTATATAGATAGCAACACCATATAGTCACAACTGTGAATTTGTTTTACATTACCCAGTAAAATAAGAAATCTGTTTTATTGATAAATATGAACGTCACTAAGAATTCACTGAAGAATTCTTTACAAAGGAACTCTTGTCATATACTCAGTTTTTGTAATTGTCATGTATTATATATTATTATTTATAAAATGAACAAAACACCCTGTATGATATGTCGACTACCTATGGTAAATACAAAATGCCTATTAAATTTATGACTTCCTTACGAATACTGCCCTTCCTTTACTTGAGTATTGGCCGCAACAACTTCCTTGCATGACCAATTCTTATATTAAGTAATTTGAAGTTTTTTTTTGTGTAGGTTAAAAAAAAACTCCCTCTTTGCGTATAAAATCCTGTACAAAGATAACGTTTGCTGTGGTGTCGGTCTTTCTTTTGAGTTACTTAAAATTTGTCAAAGACTGTCACAATTTTCACCCGTGATGGATTTACGATATTGGCTCTTGCAGTGCCACTCGCTGCTAGTCACTTGTCGCGCAAGGGTAATTGGGTACAACAATCTCTACCAAATAATGTTTATTATTTGCCACAAAAAAACCAATAAAATGAAAAAATAAACTTATTGTTAAAATAACAAAATAATAAATTTCTCTATTAGAAACAAATACGAAACATTTTCCTATAAATGCAATTAATTTTATGCAAAAATAAGACAAATTGTTAGGTCACCCGTTTCACGCTACAGCGAATTCCTTTGTATGCGCCTTTAGAGTTTAATTATAAACTTGGCAAATTTGCAATTTGCATGGTAATAAAATTCATTATGAATTAATTGAATCAAATATAAGAAAATAAATTATTTAAAAAATTATGCAAAAAATATCGCTTAAATTGAAACGAGCACGTTTCATGCAAACTGCAAAAACGAAAAACGAAAAGTTAAGAGAAAATTTTTGCAGTGAAAACAGGTTTTTTAGTCAAGTTTTTGTAATTTTATATTAAAACATCTGCTGTTTTATGTTTTAAATTTAATTTAAGTATTCCTATATATTTGTAAACAATTATTATTATATTTTTTGCAGTTCCTGTCTAGCAATTCTCTTACAACGCTTACAAACCCTGCAGTGCAATCTCCAATAGCAGCCGCCTCAAATGCACCTTCATTAAGTCCTCCTTCCGTTGGTGCAGACAGCAGTACTAGCAGTGGTGATGGTGCTGGTACACATAGTGATACGCTAACGCCTGATCCCACATCACAATCATCTGCAACTTGTGTATCTTCCGGTGCCACAACCAATACAATTGACAGTGGTACCGCTGCCTATGCATGTGCGGTTAATGTGAATACCACCACCGCTGCACCACCCTGCTGTGATAATGGTCGCACGATAATGCCTGAATCGGTAGCAGGACAAAGTTTTTGTTCCTATCAGTACGATCCAACACGTTTGGCGTTAAGTAGTTACGGTCGTATACAATCAGCGGCTGGTGTTGGTGTTTATAGTACAGCTTATCCATCTACAGAACAGAACCCTTATCCTAGTATAGGCGTGGAAAGTGCACCTTTCTACTCGACTTTGGTAAGTAAAAATAATTTTATTTTTAGATATAGTTTTGTTTTTTTTGAATATGAGATATATAAATATATTATTAAAAAAAAGCGCCTATATACTGTTTAGAAATGGAAGAACTCATAATTTGTTTAGGATTGTAACAGTGCAGTCTTGAAATAGTTTTTAATTTGTTATTGCATTACAACCTATGATTATTGAAGTTTCCTTCTACAAGAAAATCTGATATATGCGTGCTTAAATATAATTATGATTAAAACATTATAGTCAGTAATAGGTGGATTATTACAGAAATATCTGATAGTAACTCAAGCTTTTGTCTCTATTTTTGAGACAAAGCCTGGAAGCATTTATTTGAAGGATATTTTTGAAGCATATTTTTTAGAACAGCCGAATACATATGTTAAATGTGTCGATTACCCTTTAGCGCAAAAACAATTCTCTTTAAATTATAATGCTCTTTTCATCAAATAACAAAATAATAGGATTTAAACTCTTTAAACTTCATTTTCATATATAAGTTAACGGTTTATTAAAAGAGAGAATGCTATAAGTATAAAAAACAAATTTTTTGAAATGTATACACTAATAATATTTTAAAATAAATTTGTGATCAATATTGGATAAAGTAGCAATCCACAGTTCCTTTCGAAACGTGTGTTCAAATGTGTATACATATTATATGTATAAGTAAATTAAGGCACTCGAATTAAACTTGGACGTCAAAAGTACTACTCATAATGGTCTACAGACTGCATGTAGAGCATGCATGCTCCATGTGCCTATGAGTCCAGTTTTGTATTTAGTTATAAAAATATATTTCCTTCATGAAATTGAGAGAATATAATGTTTATTTCTTTTAATATGATATGAGCTGATACAGTCGCTCCCCTCGTATTTCCGCCTTCTACCACTCTTCCTTGTTCATCATTAATAATAAAGGTATGAATAACTATTTTGAGGTTTTTATGTACAAATAATTTAAGCAATATATTAAAGGAATCTTGTAGATGATTACTTTTATTTACACTGTAAGTAACACAAATCCAATATTTTTATTTCATATTTTTAAATACTATTGCTTTGAGTTTTAGTTTGTTTGGCGTGCCAGTGTCCCACTCTTATGGACACATGCATATTTCGGGTAATTGTATGCCAGATGAGCTTACTAAGACAGTATGGTCCCTGCTATTCACTTTGCATATACTGACAACCCACTTGCAACAGTTACTCTGGCAATCAAACAAAAATATCTGAATAAAGCCAAAGCTGGGCAAACAAATCCTGATGTCAGATCTCTAGGTTACTAACTTACTTAGTTGGCCATTACAAATTTGAGTTGTCCTTAGACGCGTCAAGTAGCCTACATCAGCTAGCCCGATCAGTTGCTTGCGGTCGCCAGTTGGTAGTATCGACCGCCACCAAATCGTTGGTCATCTGATCCTTCTACCGAAGATCCAGATGGCCTTAACTGCTTTTATTCTAGCTGGAGTACTTTTTTCCATGTGCATGATATGACCAAGCCAGTGAAGCCGCTGAATTTTTATGCACTTAACTATGTGAACGTCGCGGTATAGGTCAGAAACTATAGAGTTTCGGAAGAACATTTCTTTCGAATGCTGCAAACGCTTTCTCATCAAAATTAGAAATTGTCCAACTTCTGATTCTTGTTTATCGAGAGAGAACTTTATTTCTCAATTGCCTGAAGTAACATTTGTTGGCAAGAGTGATTCTTCATTGAATCTCTAGGCTGACGTTATTTTTGTTGTTTACGCTGATTCCCAAATAAACAAAGTACTTTAAAATTTCGAACTTATAATTTTCGACATTGATATGGTTCCCAAGACGTTCAGAAGTTTTATTTGTTGGCAGAAAGTGTTTTGTTTTGTCCTCCAGATCTCTAAGTTGACTGGATCTAAACTGAATGAAGAACGTCCTGCTTAACACTACGGTATCGGTGCTGAGGATTTACGGCATTAAAGATAGGTATGCTATGCAACTAGGCTTACTCTATAATGATTTTTGTTGTGGTTGTGGTTCTGAGGATGAAGAGGAAAATGTGTTTTATATTATGTGTTAGTGCCAAACTTTTGCCAGGAGAAGATTTAAAATGTTCGGGGACCATCATATTATACATTTTATGAAATTTGTAAACACATGAGTTTCTTAAGAATTTTTATTTTAATTCTTCAATTTATCAAAAACATAGCATAATTGGTGGATAAAAATTTGATGTGAAAAACTTATGATAAGATAATATCATAACACCTACTGTGTATCGATATTGATAATCTATATAGCATGTATAATATATTTGTCATATTATGGCACAATAACTTTCGTTTACTTTCGCCGGATTGAGCGTATGGGGCGTATGAGTAAATTTTAATTGAGTTCATTTTGCTTTAAACTTTTCGAAAATGTCATTGCTATTTGAATTGCCATTGAAACCCCTTAACTCTTACAAGAACTTTGCTGTGGTTTCACTTTGTTTGGATTCATTTTCCTTTTTGTTGTTTGTTTGTTGTTCTTTTAGAATGCGTATTCTCTTTGAGTGCATTACTGTTTTTAGTTTTCTTACATTTCTCTTTTATATCTTTTTCATTATTTTATGTCATGTGCTTTTGTTATTATTGTTATTTGTGTTTTTATGCTTGTTATTGTCGTTTACTTAACTGCAGTTTCTACTTTTAGTCTTAGTTGTTCTTCTTCTTCTACTACTACTATTACTACTACTTTTTCTTCTTCTTACAGTGGAACTTAATTATTACTTTATTTCATTTTATTTTCGCATTGTTGTTGCTTGGTCGTTGGTATGGTGTGGTGTTGTTTTCATGTTGGATGCGGTTTTGTGGATTTGCATTTTACATTTTCTTTCATTACGTATGCAAGTTTAATGTTTATGCTTCAGCGCATATTTAATTGTTGTAATTGGCGTTGTTAGTAGTGTTGTTGTTGTTGCTGCTCTTGTTTTGAATGTCGCTTTTTGTTATTATTTATTTGCATTTTTGCTGTAATAGTTATTGTTGTTGCTGTGTTATTAGCTACTTAATTCAATTTGTTAATGTATTACACATTTTCTTCTTCATTTTTAGCATATACTTAAGCTGGTACTTTGCTTATACGTATGTACTTCATTTGGTTTTGTTTTTGTTTTTTCACTTTTTTTTGTTTTCCATTCGACTTAAATTACCGCAGCGACGTCGCAACTGAAGTCTGATGTGTGCTCATGTTATGACAACAATTATTGTAAAATGTCACAAATTAGTTTTGTAATTAGTTTTGCATACGTTTTTGTTGTTCTCTTAGTTGTTATTGTTGTTCAGTTGCATTTACAGGGGTTATTGCTATTTTCGTCATTTGATTTTTGCTAATTTTATATATGAAATCGTTGAGATTCTCTAGTATTATTAAATCTTGAAAAACCTGATAATTCGTTTTTATTGTTTTATTATCAAAATTTTATTCACACGTCTCTATTCATTAAATTATGTTGAGGCTAGCTGAGTCAGTGCACTTGAGCACTTTTACTCTCTATTAACTGCGAGGTTTTTTCAAAACCCCTCCTTGCGCCTTGACTAGATTATTGTTTATCACTTCAATAGACTAAGCAATCATTGACCTCAGATCTGCATACCTCCCCGAGGAGCCATTCTGAGATTTGATAAGTCTGTCAGATTTCGCAAATAATTTCAGGGCTCTAACCTTTATGTATTTTTGATGGGATCAATCTTGATGTCCCTGAGGATGTCATTCGACCTAATGTACCATGGAACTTTGAAAAGTCTTCTCAGACCCTAGCTTTGTGCAATTTCTAGCTGGTGAATAGTAACGTTTGAAGCTTTGCTAAACGCTACACAACCATATAGAAGTGACGGATGAATTATTTGGTTATATATCAGTTTCCTGTTCTTAGCATTTAGATTTTCGATTCTAAATAGCGGTTGGAGGTAATGAAGAATTTTGGCACAGCTAATTCTTTTCAGTTGTTTCACATGTTTAAGCCATGTGAATCGTTTGTCCAACGTGATGCCGAGATATCTCTATTCAATTACATGAAATAAATTAATTATTTAAAATAAATATGCACTTGCGAAATGAAGTAATTGGTATTCAATCTCACATAGGTCGGCACCCCAAATAATTAGAATCTTCCTCTAGCGGCTTCAGTAGTAGTTGAGAGTGAGAAAAAGAAGAGATAAGTGTTATAAATGTAAGTAATTGATATTTAGTCTCATAGAAAGGACCTCATATGGCTAGGTAGTCCTTTTAGCGACTTCTATAGTAGTTGAGAGTCAGAAAAAGAAAAGTTAAGTATTACAAATTTACTTTGTGAATAGCTGGCATTCGCCTAAAGGTGTATATCTGTCATGCAACTCCCTATCTAAAATGCTTATTCGATAAAAGTAGTATAAGTATTAACTATATATTCTATATATCTATCTACCTATGTTAAAATCATATAGAAAGAAATGTAGAATTCGAAAATATAACCAATTATATATTCCGAATTATTTTCTAATTTTAAAAATGATCTATATTAATTCGTATTACGGTGTTAATTCGCATTAGAAAAAAGGTTAATGATATATGAACGTAAAACTGCTTAATAGATGTGGCATTCCCAAAGCAAGGTTTTCTGAAGCAGAACTAATGTTCGCTAAAATTCTATAAAATTGTAAATAACTTAAGAACTAATAAACATATCACTTCCATTTTTTGTTTGAAGTTACATTTTTATATATGTAATAACTATAAATAATCCAGTAAAAGTAAAAAAAAAATTTTTAAATTATAAATGATTAGCAGTGAAAATAATGCCATGAATCATTCCGAGCCTTAGTTATATTGTAAAGGTATTAAAGTTTTACAGATATTCAAAAAAATTGAGAAGTTGGTCATGTTTGGGCCTTAATTTGGAAAGGTTCCTATATTTATATTCAAAATACATTTAAAAGAAAGCCCATTTTAAAAACCATGTTTTAGAAAATTTTATTATAATATCTTTA